CATGCCATAGTAGCGTCGCATGCCCTCCTGGACCTTTTTGGCCTTGAAGGCCTCATACTCCCCGTTGGCCTTCATCCGCGCCATACGTTCGTGGTAGCGTCGACGGTGAAGGGCTTTCACTTTCTCGATGCCGTTCACGGACGCATATTGTCGTTGCCGATAGAGTTTTTGGTTCCGTTTATTGAGCTCGGGGTCCCTCTTTTTGCGTGGTTGGCTCGATCCGGGCGTATCCATGGTCTAACTCTAGCAATCGGGCAGCACACACGTCCGCCAAGGCCCGTAACTTTCGGAACGGACTCTCTCTGGTCTGTCGATCCCTGGCACGTCGGTCCCGCTGTTGTTGTGCAATCTGCTCGCGGTTCCGATGATAGTAGTCCCGGTTCAATAAACGTACATAGGCCGCGTTTTTGGTTCGATACCGTAGACAGGCCAGTCGGTTGGCTTCTCGGGCTTGGGCTTCCTGTTCGGGCGTAGGAGCTGGTTTAGGCGGTTTGGGTGGTTTCAACTTTTTCTGGGCCGCCCGCTGTTCACGTTTCTGCTGCAACAATCTCTCTTTGTTCTTGAGATACCATTCGTGCTTCAACTGTTTTACTTTCTCAGGATCTTTGTTGGGCATCTCGAACTCACACTGACGTCTGTTCTGAACGACAGACTTTATCTAGGGTTCAATCCACCAATCATCGATCTCGGTCCAGACCCAGAGGAGATGGAAGGAGTCTGTACCCATGGGGGGGACCACCCCTGATCTTCTTCTTGTCGATCAACCCCCTCACCTGACTCTCACCTGAGCTTGGTCCACCAATCCCAGCGCAGGAGAGATCACGTGAGAAGGTCTATAAAAGTCCACGTCCAGCGCGGGAAAATTCAAATGGTTTTCCGCTGTCATGGCGGAGGCGTATCCTTTCAGTGATGACGAAGAGGGGGATGCTTTGTTGGACCGCGCTTATGACCGTTGGGAACAGTTGGGAGGGGCTGCCGCCCGTGGCCCTCTCTTTCAATTCAGTATGCAACCGATCGGTCGACGACGCCGCTGGCGTAATGTGGTGGAGCGGGCGCAATTCAATGCGCAATTACGGCAATTGCGGGATCCTGTCCCTGGGGACAATATTGGTATGGCTTTGACCGAAGCACTCCATCAAGCCATTGAAACAGAACTGGGCCGCGAGCAGCGACCTGCCCATCATTTTGTGAATTTTGCCATCACGGCGCATGAGTTCACCCATGCTTATCAAACAGCCAATTTTACCGTGGGGGAATTTTTACAACGCACGGCTCGTTTGGATGAGATGTTAGCCACCTTGGCTGGCAAGTTGAATAGCAATGAAGCCTTCAACCCCGATCGCGGTTTCCAAGTGGATGTGGTGTTTGTCTCTATGCCTGGTCCAGGGTCCGGTCGACATAAACAACGCAATGTGGGACGTCTATGCCTGGATCGAGACAACAAGAAAAAACAATGCATTATCCCCATCCGAAACAGAGATGCCCTATGTTGTGCTCGCGCTATCGTCACCATGCGAGCCCATTGCCATAAAGACCAAGGCATGGACGGGTTTCGCGACTGGGACAATCTCAAACGTGGTCGTCCTGTGCAGTTACGCCAAGCCCATGCCCTCCATCAGCAAGCGGGGGTGGCTGAGGGTCCCTGTGGTTTACCCGAGCTGCGTCAATTTCAGCAGGCGTTGGGGTCTCAGTATCAACTCTTGGTGATGACCCGGATGAAACCGTTTTTTCTCATCTTCAAAGGCCCTGATGCCCCCCATCAGATTCGTTTATTGAAATCCAATGATCATTTTGATGGCTGCACGTCTTTTCCTGTGTTTGTCAATCGCTCCTATTATTGCCTGGACTGTGAACGAGGGTTCAACACCAACGATCGGACCGGTCACACTTGTCAAGGGAGACGCTGCCGTGCTTGTGGGCGCTTTGATTGTCCAGATTATGTGCGCGGTACCCGCCCCACAGACTATTGCCCCTTATGTCATTGCAAGTTTTACGGCAGCCAATGCAAATATTATCATGTGGTCAGCAAACAATGTCAATCCATCAAAACCTGTCTCAAGTGTCAAGCCCAGTACAACGTTCTCTCTAACAAACGTCACCAGTGCGGGTACACCAAATGTCACGCCTGTCAAGAATGGGTGTCCATCCAGGACCATAAGTGTTACATTCAACCCGTGGTAGAGAATGAGGAGACTGAACCCACAGAGGAGGGGGGAGGTAGCATGGTGGCGCCACCCCCTCCCCTGTTTGTTTACGCGGATTTTGAAGCCATGCAGAATGCGGAAGGCGTGTTTGTAGCCAATTTGTTGTGTTATTCGTCTAGTGAAGAAACCACTATTCATGTGTTGGACGGGGAGGACTGTGCCCTACAATTTTTGCGCGATTTGGATGATCTCACGGACCACCTGGACAACGAGAGTGAACGGGACATTCTCGTGGTGTTTCACAACTTGAAAGGCTTCGACGGCATGTTTATTCTGCACGAACTGTACCAGCAACAACGCGAGGTGGTGGATCAACTGACGGTGGGCGCTAAAGTGTTGTCCTTCAGGAGCGGACCCCTCAAATTCATTGACTCGTTGTGTTTCTTGCCTATGCCACTCGCCTCGTTTCCCAGCACCTTTAATTTGACCGAATTAAAGTAGGGCTTTTTTCCCCATTTGTTTAATACCCAGGATCATCAACAGTATGTGGGCCGCATCCCCGATTTGGAATTTTACGATCCCGAGGGTATGATGGCCAAAAAGAAAGACGAACTGACGCGTTGGTATGCGGATCAAGTCCGTCGCAATGTGCGTTTTGATTTCCAGCAAGAAATGATGGACTATTGCAAATCGGATGTGGTTCTGTTGAAAGCGGGGTGTGAAGCTTTTCAGCAAGAATTTGAACGGCAGGCTGGCTTCAATCCCATGGCCAAATGCATCACCATCGCCAGTGCCTGCAATCTGTATTGGCGTAAGCACCATCTGACCCCCGAAACCATCGCTGTCGAACCACTCGGGGGGTGGCGAGGGGCCCAAGTCAACCAATCCCTCAAAGCCCTACAATGGCTGTACTACCGAGAACATCAAATTCCCAAAGAGGGGGCCAGTGCTGATCGCATTCGACATGTCCGGAACGGGGGTGAACAGTCGGTCCGGACCCTCGCCAACAGCTATTTCGTCCATGGGTACGATCCTCTGACCCGCACTGTCTATGAATTTCATGGGTGTCTTTACCATGGCTGTCCCACTTGTTATCCCACGAGAGGTGTCAAACATTATGCAGCGCCGGATCGAACCGTGGAGGAACTGTATCAGGCCACGCTCTCCAAACGCATGGCCCTGCTTCGAGGGGGTTACACAGTGATAGAAATGTGGGAGTGTGAATGGGACAAGTTGGTGGACACGGATGAAGCTGTCCAACGTTTCCTGACGTCGTTCGATTTGGTGGCACCCTTGGAACCCCGTGACGCCTTTTTTGGAGGTCGAACCGGCGCGGTGGCTCTGCATGCCGTGGCTGGGGAGGGGGAGGAAATACGCTATGTGGATGTGACCTCCTTGTACCCGTGGGTGAATAAGAACTGTCCTTACCCTATTGGTCATCCCAAGATCATCACCCAACCCGCCGACCAGTCCCTGGAGTCCTATTTTGGATTGGCTACTGTGGATATTCTGCCTCCGACTGGTCTATTCCACCCGGTCTTGCCTGTGCGCAGTGGCCAAAAGCTCACCTTTCCTCTCTGCCGTGCCTGTGTCCAGACAGAGCAAGCCCAACCCATGTTGACCCGAACCCAGTATTGCCCTCATTCGGATGCTGATCGCATGCTACGCGGGACCTGGTGTACGCCCGAGTTGGTCAAGGCCGTCGAAAAGGGGTACACCCTGATTAAGATCCACGAAGTCTGGCATTTTCCCCCTGAGCAACGCCAAACGGGTCTTTTCGCCAATTACGTCAACACCTGGCTAAAAATCAAACAAGAGTCCGCGGGGTGGCCGGTTGGTGTCAGACCCTCGAGCAGAAACGAGAGTACATTCTTCGCTACCTGGAACGAGAGGGGATCCAACTGGATATTGCCAGCATTGCCAAAAATCCCGGTCGCAAGGCTACCGCCAAACTGATGTTGAACAGTTTCTGGGGCAAGTTTGGGGAGCGGATGAACAAACCCACTACCGTCACTGTCAGGGACCCCGCTCATTTGTTCAATCTCATCTCCGATGCGGCACTCGATCTCAGTACGCTCCGTCTCTGTACCGACGACATCTTGGAGGCCGTTTACACCAGTGTCCAAGACAATGCCGTCAAAGGCACCAAGACCAATATCTTTGTGGCGGCGTTCACGACGTGTCATGTTCGATTGAAACTCTACGGGTCCCTCGACACCCTCCAGCAGCAAGTCCTCTACTACGATACAGATGGTGTGGTGTACAAGTGGCGTCCAGGTCAACCCAGCATTGCCACCGGGGATTTTCTGGGGGACATGACGGATGAATTAGACGGAGACGTCATCACCGAGTTTGTTTCGGGAGGCGCCAAGAATTATGGGTACACGACTCGTGCGGGCAAAGTGGTGTGCAAGGTCCGCGGTTTCACGCTGAATGTTCGGGGGTCAGCCATTCTTAATTTTCACACCATGAAAGACAATATTCTTTCGGAATTAGACTCGCCCCAGGACGCTCGCCGGAATTTGAACATTACCACTCCTTATTATTTTAAACGGGATCTAGAGAAGAAACAAATTCAAGTGGTTCCGCGCGTGAAGCAGTATGGGTTGGTGTTTGACAAGCGCGTCATTGATGTGACCACCCGATCGAGCTATCCCTATGGCTACGAGAGGATTGGGAATGAACTCGACCTGTTATTAGATTTGTAAGAAAAAAATGGGCGTGACGTCACTAGGACCTCACCTACGTCCCACTTGTCACCAGGCTTTACGCGGTCATTAAAACTATGCGAAGTATGTGGATCAACCTCTTGTGTGTGGTGTTCTTTTCCCCATGGGGTCACGTGAACAACATGACCATATTTGGAAGCTTGTGACGTCAATTTGGTCACATGGGCTAAATGCTCGATTCTGATTGGTTCCCTCAAATTTTGCTGCGCTGTGATTGGTCAGGACCTAGTATAGCCTATATGACTACTTCCATTGCCATCTGCCTCATGCTTGCTGCTTTTTCTGACTCTGCTTTTTTCTTTGCACTTTCTGCTTCCTCCTGGCTACTAACTTCCTCCATTCGCTCTTTTTTGTCTTGGCACAATTGGTCCAGCTCGTCATACTCAGCATCTATGCCAGAGGCCTTTTTTTCTACTTGCTCCTTATTTTCAAATTCTTCCATGATTTTTTTGAACCGATCTCTACAGGATCTTTCTGTAACCTTGAATCCCTCTTGCTTGTTGCCATTAAGATTGCTGGCAATAGTTCTCCATGCTGCACCTCTGTCACTTTGCTTTTTGGCATATGGTTCTACACATGTGACCTCCTTGAGCAGGCACAATTCATGTTGCTTTTTCCAGATAAATAGCTTTCTTTTCCTAAAAAAATGAAAATGAAAACAGTACAATTTAAAAAGATTTAAGGTACCAAGCCAATGTTAATCCTATTTGCTGGGAAAAGTTTGCAAGAAACTTAATTTAATAGTGAGAAAACCATGCACTACTACCACCAAACAACACCTACTTTAGGAATTTTGGGGCCTTTAGGATCATGGAAACTGAACTTTGTAGTTAAGTTCAATGCGTGATCATAAATGGCTTCTGTTCCAAACCCCAGTTACCAAAACCAACTTGTATTGAATGAGCTTCCTTTTGAAGTTTGTTTTTAAAAATGTACTCCCTTTCACAACGAGGTTGTTCGCTAGGCCCTCTTTCTGTTTCATGAGAGCTTCATGAAAAATAGACAGCTTATAGCTGCATGATGGGAGACCTGCATATGAAATAGTTACATCTCATGGATATTGAAGTATGTTAGATAAAAATTAAGCCTAAAACAGTAGACATCATCCCAAGGTTGGGCATAAACTACAGAGTTTGAAAAGTTTATTCTAAAAAGTGGGCTATTAGAGTATGAATTCCCTTTATGCCAGTGCAATTTTTTCATGAAAATACTTGAATCAAAAATGATGTGGATTATTTTTCTTAATCCTTCTCTCGCAAAAAATAAAAGAATTAAATACAGTTGAACCTGAACTCAGTTATTCTAGAGTTTGACTCAATGCATCATTCGATTCTGTAGACAAATTTCAGCTCAACAAAGTGAAAACTTGATGCCAGTCGAGTAAGCATTATAAAGTTTAAAGTTAACTTCAGCCATATTAAACTTAAATCCTGGAGTTTTTAATGCACTTCAAGCACCTTATAAACAACCTAAATTAGACCAAATAATACTCATATAAAGAAAAACAAGTACTCTTTGGTCCACTTACATTTCTGCTTCGGCCATCTTGATAGAATCCTGGAAAAAAGGAGTAAATGAGTTATCTGGCATGCTACAAAGCTATCGAGAGAGACCACAGGCCTCACGAAATAACCCCAAAATTGTCATTATGTTGCGAAAAATATCCCAACAGAAGAATATATGAATGAAGAATACTTAGCTCCTTATCCAGTGTGGTTCTTGTGTTGAATTTGATGAGTATTAGCGTGTTTTGAGAG